AAAACTGGCAATACAAATCCAAAATATTTTTTTTTTACTATTTTGGATTTACTTGAAAATGTTATACAAATTTTGTTAACTTTTGAAGTCATATATTAGATCTTTCCTTTAGACATAAATTAGCGATTTCTACGGTTTCGTGTCCTTTAGTAGTGATAATAATAAAATTTCTAAATGGATGTGTAAAAAAATTTCCTGCACCTGGACAAAAGGGATTAAGAGCAAGAAATTCAGCCGCCACTGGAGGACAGGGTGCAACCGGTGCTTTCGTCAGGGAGACAATGCACCTGTTTTTACCTAATTTTTACTCTTAATGGCAAAATATATATTTACACAAGGATCTATCATTGGCACCGATTCAGCAACAACTCACCAAAACTATTACCGTTTTTGGCGCGAAATTAATCTGCCTAAAAAGTTTCCGGGCTTTGCTCCGGGCCCGAACAAGTCCGTAGAGTATTTTTAGGCTCGCAAGTAATTTTAATTTGATCAGTGCACCCAGGCGATGAAGGTGGCCGCCTTCAGGTATCCCGCAAGATTGAGATATTTCGAATATGAATCATCTCGGCCCTTACCTGGACTAGACTGTTAAGTAACCTTCCGAGAGGTATGCGCGGTGCCCACCAAGCCCGGATCTTTGGTTTGCTCAAGTTTATGCTTCGTCGTTCTGTTCCGAGAACGGCTTTTGTGTTCGTCCTTAGACAAGAATGATCGCGCTAGCCGAATGAATGAATCACACCAATTTAAATCGGCACGGATGCAGCGAACACTCGAGTGCGCAGACATTCCGAAAGAAAACCGACATCGACAGGTCTAGACTTGCTTTCCGATGTCCGATACGGTAATGGTGCCGAATATCGGACATCGACAGAGAAAGTTGCCAGGTTCAAATTTTCTAGAATTTAAGTTAATATATAATAAAAAAAAATGTATAAACGAATTCCATAAGTTGATATTTTGCAATTGTTCAAGTCGATATGTAAAAGAAACCTTACAAGAGAAAATGACCAAGTTCTCCTGATATCATTGCTCCGAAACTCCCAACTTTGTATATGGCCAAGTCAAGATAGCCATGGATCGTTCTAACGTCAACAGTATGACATTTAGAATTTTAAAAAATATTATTGATTGCGTAAATTGAAGTGCGTGTGTGTACTAAATCAAAAACTTTAAAAGTGTTGCAAATTTGCGAAATACTTTATCCCAGGTTTTGATAAGTAATAATATTGTGCTTTGTTGCTTAGTAAAGTCCGTTCATAGATATAAGAAAGTAACTAACTGGTACGAATTAAGGAAAGACGCGGGCAAGCTGTAAGAATGAAATATGGCCGAACAGGTCCGTACTTTGCTTAGAATTTAATTATTTGGGGTTTTGTTAGGAAAGATACTAAACAATATTTATTTATTTATGTATGTACTTATGTTTAAGTCTAAAATAAAATTACAAATTATTTTTATTACCTACTTAAATTACTTAAAATTATTCACATAATGTATCAGTATCACTATCGCTATCATCGCCTGTTCTAATTATTATTTGTTATATATTATTTGCAATATGGATATACGATTGTTCTGCTTTTTCTACATGTTTAACAGAATTTGCCCAACTTTGTGGAGGAATGTTAAAAACTTCGGATTCTATAAGTTTTAGGACATTGGAGTTAACACGTGGAAAAACATTGTTACATGGCAGATTGCAGTTGGTGCCAAACATGTTCAATGGGATTAAATATATAGTGGTAAGGTGGAAGCCTTAAAACTGTATGCAATGTGACCGTTTCTTCTAAAGACGCTTGCTTCCTGGCACCACGTTCAATGAGAGTCAAATAAACATTGTTTATAACTTCCTTAGTCTCAATAGAATAGTGTTTTCTACATTTGGGCGGGAGCATCTCCTGAGATACACCTCGTACATATTTTGCATAATTCGCACACGATTGAACACACGCTGTATTACACACGAAATGAGAATGATTACTAATAAACTTCAACTAAGTAGTATACCAAACCAAAGAATATTAAACACAGCTAGGTATAAAATTATTTTCAATTACGGACCACAATTTTAGGTGAATTTAAATTCCGAAACTTTAGGTAATAATCTTGTTGCATTGTATGTTAATGACCACCGTTGGGTAATCCCATTCAAAAGCAATTGGTCACTTTCTTATATCTATGAACAGACCATACCTTACATTAATAAACTTAAATTCTCACAACAACATTAATTGAGGTTTTATTGTCAGACACGGTGCTGTCGAAACAATTGTCATGTGAATATAGATAATTTCGTGAAAATCTGAACTTTTAGTTCTTATTTATTTTGTTAAATGGATTTTCATCAAGTAAAAGTCACCTCAGTTCAAGTTTTGTTTACTGTTTTCTTTGATTATTGTTTCGCAGTACACCACAATGTCGTACGGGCAATAAAGGGTATTACCTTGAAGTTATGCGCCGTTTGAGAAAAGCAATACGAAGAAAACGTCCGGAGTTGTGGAAAAACAATTGTGTCTAACTTTTTGGCGAAAAACAAAACCACAATCATGCCTCAGCCACCACATTTACCGGATAAAGCCCCCTGCGATTTTTTCCTGTTCCCAAAATTGAAGAAACTCATGGAAGGACTCAAAGCTATACTAGAAAGTACTTCGAGAATTGGAAAAAAACGTTGACCCAAGTGGAGGGAGGGATTATTTTGAAGGGGACAACATTAATTTTGACGAATGAATAAATACAAAGTCACTTCACTTGCCGTTGAATTGTCTCCACGACATTCCGTAACACCCTGTATATTTGTTAAAGCGACCGGGATAAAAATACCACGTTCCTTATCGCTTTTCGCTTCCATCTTGTCTATACGCGGGACGAGATGTTATTTGCTCGGGACAAACTTTTTCTGGGAAGCGTTTATTATCGAGGCAAATAAACCCCGGCCTATCAGGAAAACAAATACGATTTTGTTTGTTGTTCTCGCTCCTTCAGTGATTCTGTCAACTTACCTTTACGGTCCGTAGGTATGTTTAAACTACGATCTACGGGACCGCCGTAATCGCATTTTTGACCGGGGAATAACCGTTGCAGGGGCCCGGAGGATCGTACCTCTTCTTAGAATATGATGAAAATATTTACAAAAATTTAAAGACGCAATAATATTACGTTTTATTTATTAATTCCTCTGTACTTCAAATTATACAGGGTGATACTAAAATATTCTCAAGTGTGCGATGTTGCCGCTTCAATATAAACGTACCCTCCGTATAATAAACCCATTTAAGGATTCTACGCAAGAAATAAAGTAGATTTTCTTCAGGTTTCCCTATTTGACTGTGAGTGGAATTTAATAGAAATCGGCAACTATTTGACCCAGAAAGGGCGGTTTTACATCGATATCAGCTGGTTTATTAACATTTTTGTTTCAATAAACGCAGTAGGTGCCGATTTTGACTAATATTTGAAAGATATTTACATTAAAGCTGTCGATAGCTACTTAGAAACCCCCTTTCTTGGAATGCTAGTAGGTTTTTCTTATTTATTTCAAACAGAAACAAGTAAAAATCGCGTTTTTAGACACATATCGCGCCTAAAACCGCATCAAAACTGCAGATATCAGCTTAAACTATCATTTTTTGAGCCAAACAGTTACCTTTTCATGTCAATATCGTTCAAATCGGCATTTTCTGCCTTCAAAATAAATAAGAACTAAAAGTTCAGATTTCAGATGACAATTGTTTCGAAAACACCGTGTCTTTACCAAATGTAATATTTACAAACTACCCTTACCATAGATACCGAAAAATTACAATAAAACCTAAATTAATGTTGTTGTGAGAATTTAAGTTTAATAATGGAGAGGTATTTAAGTGTAATTGATCGTTAAGCAATACATTTGAATGTCTCATTTTGTTAATCTCCATGGCTTCCAATAAATTTAATTTTCTACTTTTTCTGGCTGTATGTAAAATATCAAAATTGTCGTCAAAAATGTGTTATTCTGTGTTTAAGTGTGCAGCATAATTAAAGAGTAGACTATTGTTTTTAAACGCTCTTTTATGTTCGTTAATGCGTTTCTTGAAGGATCTACCTATTTAATAATAAATAATAAATAATAAATAAATAAATAATTTTAATATAAAGATCCGCATTTCAACCTGTAGACACCTGATTTTTGGGATTTTGGACATTTCGTTTTATTGTTTTTTAAAATTTTCCTATTGTGTTGTTAGTTCTGAAAGCTATTTTTAAACCACATTTTGACAAATGTTTTGAAACTTTTTCACTGGGTTGTCTTATGTTCTGTATTAGGTTTCGGATAAATAGAGTTTACTGTTGTCTGGATTTGTTTTTTATTTATAATTTTATCGATAATGGACGGATTATGGTCGTTGTTCAGTGTAATTTGTTTAATGATATTCTTTGTTGTAATTTTTTGTTGAAAGTAGCGTATTAAGAAGTCTGTGTATAAAATAGTAAAATGCAGCCATTTTGTGTGTGGGTGATTTGAGCTGTTATGTATGACTGTGTCCGTGTGTGAACGTTTATAATAAATGTAAAAATCTAATTTGTTTTGCGTTTTCGTAATAGTTAAGTCTAAAAAATTCAATTACTATAGTGAATTTTATACGATTATTCAATGAGTTAATGTAAATTGAAAAGGAATTTAATTATCTGTCCGTTCCAACAAAGCAAGCAAAGACATCATCCACGTATCTATAACACCATAGAATACTTTTACTTAAAGGATGTTCTAGTATGATATTTTCCAAATTATCTATATATGTTGATTTTATCCATTGAATCTTTCCCTCGGCATTATTGGAAACATTTTGAAATAATTTTCGACAAGTTGACGAACCAGATGTTTAGGAGTGACAGTGACGTATATTTGGCACAAACCTAAACGAAGCTAAATAAAAAAATGGGCATCTCGCACTTTAACCGAGTAAACCTAACTTCGGGTGGTGAATCTAACTTTACCCGTAACACATGCAAATACTTACAATTGTATCCTTTTCCTATCTGGTTAGTTCTTTATCACTTTTTCATCGTCGCATTCGATCACACTCCGATCCGTCTTAACGAATATATACGAATATACAATTATCACAGCAAGTCTTTGACGGCAACCCATAACCAACACGCGGCTATTAGGGAGACGGACAACCCGACGTTGGGGGCTCCGGACTGCGCCCGGACTACTTCCGGGGATGGGGTAGAAGTCGACGGTTTGGACGGGTGGTATCCCCTTTGGACGTCGACGCCGGACACGTCCTTGTCGTAATTTTCTTCCCGGACGTCTTCGTCGTCGTCGTCGTAGCCGTCGCCGGAACCGGAACCGCTACCGGTGAAACTTTCCTCCGTGTCGTCTACTATTTCGACCTCCATACCTGGATGGACAACATTCCACCGTCGTTTACTTTGTCGGATTTTTTAATCAATTTCTCAAAGAATCTTTAATAATAATAACAAGATTGCTTTCGAAAAATCGTCACTGGGCGGGGCAAGTTCGTAGCGAGTAGCGCGAAGCAGCTTTTTATTTGAAAAGTAAAGGGCTTCGCGGTTTCGTGTGGTAAAGGGACGCATTGTTTTTCTATCGTGCTCGGTGTAACTTAATTGTGCACGCACCCTGTATAAAATGTCCTTCACATCTCGTCGATCTTCAAAGTTACAGTAAAAATCGGTAAATATTAAAATTTGCACAAATAATAGCGTTGTCGAATGATATTTTTGCAAATATCTTGCGCCCTGTATAATTGACGAAACCTGAAACTCTCTCACGATACTGTTCAAATAAAATTATCCCATCTTTAACGGCTTTTCATTTATCGCCAATAATTTACCCAGAAAAACGGAAATTTTTTGGATATTTTAGATTTCTTGCTCGTAAACGACACACCCTGTATATGATACAATCATTGTTCGAAGTAGAGGTTATAACCCTGGATTTTCCACGCTTCCTGGTTCAAGAATTTTTTGAAAATAGTAAATGGTTTTCGAGAAAATAAGTTTTTTGTGAAACCATGCAGTGCGCCGTAATAATCAATGACGTCATCGCGTCTTGACAGCCCCCGAAATAACGATTTCAATATGGATTTTTTCAAATATCCCGAGCAGCGTATGTGATAGACCAAAACCGCGAATACAAAAATTATGATTATGGAGGAAAACATATTTTTCTGGAAGCTAAAATCACCAAAAAAAAAATGGTGATTTTCATTTGGATTTTTTCAAATATCTCGAACGGCGTATGGGATAGACGAAAACCGTAAACTTAACCTAAAGTCTAGTCTAACATAAACATTAACTTTAATATAAAAAAAAACAAGAAAACGGTACATTTTCGCAAAACAACACGAATACACTCACTGATATGACCGTCAGAATTGACAAACGTCAAAATTCAAGGCGTGGAAAATATCTCCGAAAACATCCGATTGCTCCCGGAAATGTCCGAAGTGGCTCGGATCCTTGGGAAACGAAACGGACGTGGTAAAGTGACGCTTTTTTTACCTCTTGGCCGGAACTGGGAGGAATTTCCCACTTTATTACTCTAAACTTTGCCGAAATAGCCTATATATATTAGTTATAGGTATAGACTCGGATATATAGATAATTAACTGGGTAAGTAGGTAAATACGCTTAATACACGAAATTTTGACAATAATAAATTTTGATTGATTGGTTCAAGTAAAAATAAATACCGGTTAGATAGATATCGACCGTCGCCTTACGGCGGGATTAAAAGTGGAAGAGAAATATCCTACTGGATAACGGAAAAATTTAAATAGAAAAATAAAGATAAGAGAGTGCCAGATAAGTAGCACACTCTCGTTTCCGATAAGGCGGAGCGAATAAAAAACGCCTTTTGTATAAACGAGACACCTCGGGGAAGTTTTCAATTAATTTTTTCTACTCCCGTCTGTAAAATACCTAATTACATACCGATCCAGCGTGCGGGAAGCGTCACTTTACTTCCCACGGATCCGAGCCACTTCGGACATTTCCGGGATTTTACCGCACGGGTTCGGGAGCAATCGGATGTTTTCGGAGATATTTCCCACGCATTAAATTTGACGTTTGTCAATTCTGACAGTCATGTCAGTGAATGTATTCGTGTTGTTTTGCGAAAATGTACCCAAAAACTAACGGTCGCAGAAAAAGTATAGCATACAACACGTTTGGTAAACTTTTTAACTCACCCGTTTATTAAAACCTCGCTCCGCTGCACTCCGCTCGTGTCAAATAAACTCGTGAGTCAAATGACGTTTACCGCACTTGTTGCATAATATACTATTAACTGGCAGAAGGACAGAGCCCAATATCATCTGGGAAATTCTTCGAATTGACCGTGATTAATAATAAAAAAATCCACAATTAAATGCTTAGGTGATTATTCAGCAATTGGACTATTGAAGCTGCTGAGAACATGGAAGGGCTTAAGAACTTCAACAGGTTCAATCGAATAGGGTATTTAAACTGTATTTTAAATTATTTAAAAGTTGCATTTGAGCTTACGAGGGAACAGAAAACGAAAGATTCTACTGAAATTTAAAAAAAAGGCGCAGAAGACATAAAATTGGTGTTACTGATAACAGCCCTCACCTACAGGTAATTTTACCTAATAAGAAAGTGAGCATTATTAAAATAGACGTAATAACGAAATCCAATCTAATCTGATTGTAAAAGTGACGACAGAGCTTCTTCACCATAGTGATAGTGATTAAATACCGATTAAAATTTAAAAATAAATAATTAAAGAAAAATATTGCACTGTTTTCTAACGTAGAAGCCTGGTAAATAACAAAAAGGTATTATTATATACGGCGAAACCTGATGATATTACCAAAGTGTGAGATATATTTCTTATGGCCAAATATGCCTAAAAATATCAACGAAACAAAGTTGAAAAGTTGATTAAAGGCACATTAAAATATAAAATATAAAATGTTACGAAAAGTTAACCGTTGACATACGCATTGTTATTCTTGTATTGTTATTATTATTTTGTTGGTTTTTGAATATAACTAGGGTGGCTTACTTAATGATGTCATTCGTGTTATTACCACTTTAAAAACCTATGGAATGTTCATAAAACAATTTCAAAACTTTCTGGAGATACGTCTTACAATTTCTTAGAAATTTTCTTCATTTTCTATAATTACTTAGAATTTTTCTGATTTACTTAACATTAATAAACAAAATTAAGAAGAATTTGCCAGAGCCATTATAATTATATATTTATTGCTTATTTATATATAGATAATTCTGTAGCAAATTATTGTTATTATTTTTTATTATTTAAAAAAGTTCAGTCTATCGTGCTATTAAACCAAATCGACCGTTAGTCATATTTACTTAATTGTAGTATCATATCAATTTGAAGTCCGGTCATGGAGTTTTTGTAAAAGTTATACATTAACTTGTAGAAAGCAGAATCAGCGTACACAGTGAAGAATGTATCATTATTTTTTATAAGCTGCTTTAATATTTGTATTTTATTTTTTTGACTTTGTTTTGTCGGAAAAGATTTTGTTAGCAATGATGGAATTTACTGCGGCATTAAAATAGTAAGAGCATCCTTAACATCATCCGAGCAGGCAACCTTGCGGGACACCAGTTTTTATTTTGAGCTTGTTTTTGTAAAGTAAATGCGTTCGTATAAAAATTTTATATCTCGGTAACGGTAAGTCCTATGGTATCGCCGTTGGTGCAGATATGATCACCGTCGAAAAAAAAATTTTTTTTTGTCTGTTTGTCCGTTCCCCGTTCTCGTCTTTTGGTTTTTCCTAAATAACTTTTGAACCGTTGGAGCTACAAAGTTGAAATTTGCTTCCTTTTTAACCCTCCACGAGGCACATAAGCTTGGTCCTGATGCGACGCCGGTATCCATCTTTTTTTCGCGATTTTCGACTGTTTTTTGGACCTTGCTATGAAACACGATAAGTGTCCGAAATTTGAAGCAACCCATTGAAATCGCGTGTGGTGTACAAAAAACATCATTTTTCAAAAACTCTTTACGAGACTAAAAAAATTCTTGAAGATAAACTCTATAAACTTTTATTTCTGACAATTTTTCAAAAATATACAGGGTGCGCCGCAAATTCAAAAAAACTGGAAAATGGGTCCCCCATTATTGAAAATTGGCTATAACTGAAAGACTATGATTCAGATCTCACTTTCTTTTATATTGCGGTATAGCCCGCATAGACAGAAGAAACTTTTGTATTTAAGGTTTTCACCTATTGTACAGAGTGTTCCCGATATTCCGTGCTAAATGAAAAATGTGTTAGTGTTCTAAATTTGCAGATATCAACTTCAAATTTAGCAGAGAAGTAAAAGTCTGTGTCCACATTTAAAGGGTAGAAATTGGGCGCAATCCAATTTTACCAAGTATTTTTTTAAAAATGTTTGAAAATTTTTTCCATAAAAATATGTTTTCCTCCATAATCGTTCATCCGATTGGCGAAATTCTTTAACCGGCAGACGCAGAAGATCCAGTGCAATAATATTTTTTCGGGCATTTTTTCGATTTTCAAATTATAGGCAAAAATCTGAAAGTCCTAGAAAATTGTTTTTCTAGAGAATAAATTATTAGCCGCAAATAAAAAATCGTAAAAAATATGGCTAATTGGTTCAAACGGTGTCATAGGCCGCATCAAGACCTACAATTTTTGTATTTGCAGTTTTCGTCTATCACATGCGCACTGCATGGTTTCAGAAAAAACTTATTTTCTCGAAAACCATTTACTATTTTCAAAAAATTCTTGAACCAGGAAGCGTGGAAAATCCTGGGCTATAACCTCTACTTCGAACAATGATTGTATCATATACAGGCTGTGTCGTTTATGGAAAAAAAATCTAAAATATCCTAAAAATTTCCGTTTTTGTGGGTAAATTATTCGCGATAAATGAAAAACCCTTAAAGATGGGATAATTTAATCTGAATATGCGTGTCGTGAGAGAGTTTCAGGTTTCGTCAATTCGCTATTATGTGTGCAAATTTTAATATTTACCCATGTTTGCTGTAACTTTGAAGTTCGACAAGATGTGAAGGTCATTTTATACAGGGTGCGTGCACAATTAAATTACATCGATTTTCCGAAAGTTCCATAGTGGTCCGCAGGAGAAAAATAATAGGTCCCTTTACCGCACGAAACCGCTTCGCGCTACGCGCTACGAACTTGCCCCGCCCAGTGACGATTTTTCGAAAGCTTGTTACTTGTGTAGCCAGTTACTTCACAATTTTAAGACTACTCCTCTGATAGCATAATGATCTAATACTTGCGTGAGGAACCGTATCAAATGCTTTTGCCAGATCAATAAAGGCCATACACTTTCTACCTAAATTTAAGTTTTTAACAATAGAAACCATACTGATTGGGTGAAATTATCGATTTAGTATTTAAAAAATTTATCAATCTGTCCTTGAGACGCTTTTCAAAAATCTTAGCGAAATTACTAATCAAACTGATCCCGCCTATGATTTGTTATGCAAGCTTTAGTAGTGACCATTGACATTTTGTGCCTGTTTTGAAAATTAAATTAAATATTTTTCCTATTATTACATTATTATTAAGCATTTATGCCAGAGTGCCTAGAGATTGTTTCCATTGTTTTCCAGTGCAATTGTGCAATTTTGTATCCGGTTTCTAAATAAATTAATTAACTAATCAATAAATTTCTATACACTCACCTTGATGCGCTTTCCTCAGCTTCTCCGAAATGCCCTGCAGCACGTAAATCTGTTCTCCGATGATAGGAGACGGGGTGGGACTGTCATTGTACTGCTGATGGTCGTAGGTCCCTATGGTGGTGCCGTTCCAGCACTGACCGTCATCGCTGGGACTGGCCGAGACGTTCTGGTTATTGCAGTATTGGTAGGGCAGCTGCAGCCAGAACTGCTTGGTGTCCTTCACTTTCGACTTGATCTCGGTCAGCAACTTGTCCAAGGCGGGCGAATCGTCCTCCTCCTGCGTTTTCTTGTGCTTCTTCTTGGGGGCCCCCGAGTCGATTTCCATGTCGCCGTCCGAACTCGTCTCGTAGTACGCGCTCCTAGTGGCCCGCGTCGAAGGCACCCCGCATTTCGAGTAAACTTTTTTGGACACCTGCGACCCGTTCTCTTGAAAATTCATGACCGCTTCCGAGATTTTTATGTTCAACGGTAGCACGACGGACTCGACGTTGTAGGGCCCCAGCAACCTCTCGGCCACCTTCTCTATGGCGTCTATGTACTTATCCCACTCCTCGTTCAACTGGACGTGGTGCCGGAGGCATATTTTGACCGTACCAATGCAATAATCGGAACAGGCCCCGGCGCCCTGCTCTCCCTTGCACGCCCCGCAGAACTGCATTCGAGTCAACGCCCGGACGCATTCCTCGTCGACCGGAAGTTTAGCCATCGCTTTCGATACCTCCACGCCTCTGGTCAGGGCCTTGTAAAACGTGCGGGTGGCCACGAAGGACCTCCTCAACTGCTGGCTCAGTTTGTAGGGCACGTCCCCGAACGGCTTGATCTCGACCATCAAATCCGCCACGCATTCCAAATATTTATCGTCGAACGAATACTGGGCGTTTATCACCGCGAACATCCTCTGATACAGGATCGCGAAAAACGAGTCCATTGTGTCCCCCAAGTGCAACGTGCCCTTCTTGTAATAAGTCTCCAGTTCGTTAAAGAAATCGCTGAACACCTCGGAGTTTTGCAGGTAAATTTTCCCGTAGGTCTTCTGGAACATGTCGTGGAACTCGCGTTTGGAATTGTTCATCATTTCGCGAAAGATTTCGTCGAACTTTTTCGCCCTCGCTTCGATCAGGGAGGCCACCTTCAACGCGGAATCCGATATATACTTCTCTATAAAGGACCGGCTATATTCTAGCATGTTATCCTCCAAATTCCCGCGGCAACAGCTGTTTTCCCCGCATATCGAGCCCGTATCTGAAGACTCGACGAATTCCAATCCTGAGAACCATCTAACCTCGATATCCCTTTTAATAGACTCGCAATTCGGTGGGCTAGGTAACCCCGCGGAAAACCGGGCGACAGTCAAAACCAACAAGATTTGGATACAGCACATTTTTTCGGTCCTATACATCACAGCCACAATTTTTACCATCGGTTAGGTACAATGGACCTAGTTATCGATACACATCTCCGGATTTCTGCAAGGCACTCTCGTCTTAATTCCTCAAATACATTTCAGACATCCAACTCGAACATTTCCCACGAAACGCACATCGGTGCGCGATGTCAAAAATTTTCTGGTCAAGACCGCTGCCCCGACTAGACCGTTTCAGGTCTAAAAATATAACACGGCATGTTTAACAGATTCGTCTGCTGCAAAAAATATAAAACAGAAACCGAACTATTAAAGGCCAGGCCAGTTAATTGTCAATCGTCAAACCGGTACCCAATATAGATGTAAAGGAATGTTACTTTTGTTTACAAATGCTTAAAACAAACCGAAATAGCACGGTGCGATCACTACATTGCATTCCGCGATAAGTTTTTTTTAATATTTATTTCGATTCTTATGCGCTCCAAAAATATCGATTGCGAGGGTGTTTGGCGGATCTTAACCAGAATTTACATAATCGACGGCCGAACGTGCACCGCTAACATTACACAAGGGTTCGAACCGTGAGAACTGAAAACGCTGAGAAATTTTTCGACCTATCCACCCGACACTCATCACAGAACATCATCTTCTTCTTGATGCGAACCGCGGGCCGTTAGCACAGTTACTACGACCACTCGCCCATTATCATAGATATCTGCAAGTGGGGCCGAGATATTGCGTATTTGTTTAATTGAAAAATATCAATGATCGTCTAACAGCAGGGATTGTTGTATCTTTCTCCAACTTCGTTATATAAATAGAATAATGGAGTGGTCCCGTTTGATTTCTTTACCGATACACCTTTGATAAACATATTTTTCCATTCTCTTCTTCAAGATGCCCATTACATCATTACAAAATGTCTTAAGTAATTTATTCCGATTTAAGAAATTTATTGCTTAGAAAATATGTACTTCGCTTAACACACAGGATGTCTATCATGGATATAAAGATGGTTAATTTGGAAAAAATTACGTGTTGTTAAGAAATCAAAAAAAGTCGCATCTCTTCCAAACATAAACAAAAAAAAACAAAATTTCCCAGTTTCGTTTGAATTAAATAAAAAAAATAAAGGTCGCGTTCTCCTTGTCGCTGTTTGAGCTTCAAAAGACAGAGGTAAGAGATATTAAGTTTTGTTTGGGCAAAAAATATTTTTTGATATAGTCCAGGAAAAAACTACTACATGTATTAAATACTAAATTACTAAACCAACAGTCCACATATAAAACCGAAAATTATGTTGACAGTGACATTTCTGTTGTCTAAATTTTTCTATTCTTGGATTTAGAGATGTCACAAAAATTAATAATAAAACCTAAGTTTTAAATTGTGTTGGGCTGTCTTATTAACCTCCTGCTTGGACCCGCTGATCTACTGCATCATCGGCTATTTGGCATTTTCCAAATGTACTTCAATCACATTCTCTCTCTCACAAGGAGAAAATCTTAAGATATCAACACTCCTCAAGCTTTTCTTGTTACACACCCATTTCTGGACATCTGGAAATAATGTTGCATGTTGCGTTTCCTTGAGGCTCCTACTAAATAACATTTATCCTCAAAATGGTGCTCACACAAACTTATATTTGCGGAGTCCTTCAACAGATTTCAATAGCAAGCGTACAACCACAACTTGGCACTAAAACATGCAATTGAAATTAGATGTTAACTTTCGGTTGAAAAACCCATCACAAAACTGCATGTTTATAATTCACTATATCTTTTTTATACATTTTTTTTGGAAAAGGATATTATAATATACATACTAACATTGCAATCATTAGGTGTGATTTCATAATTTAATTAATATTATTTGGAGATTGTAGGTTATAATGAAGTGTAAATAAAAAAATAAGCTGCAATGCAATGCAATACCGATTCGGGAAAGAAAACAAAGCTACACCTCCAGCTGTCTTCGAATGACATCCACAAAATGCACAGGTATATCCAGACATATTGTAAAAAATTTTTTACATAAAATATAACAGAAAGTAAAGTGCTAAAGTATACGTAGCGCAAAATTTAACAACCCATTGATGCATAGACAAAGAATGGGGATTAGAATGGAGGCTTTACTGTTAAAGGTTAGACAACCAACCTTGGTTTTCTGTGATTGAAATCAAATGACTGATGAGAACTAGCGCCTTGTAAGGAAGCATCAGAGAGGTTCAGAACCAGATTCATGAAAATATTTTTAAATATCTTCAATATATGGCAATGATCGATTTGAAATTTAAAAATTGGCTCAATTATGAAACAATTTCTTTTGGCTTATTTATTTTTCAAAAAATATTAAAACGATTCCTATGGTCTGAAACCTTTCCACAGAAAATATAAGAAAAACACGGATGTTAATGCAGACAATATTTTCTGTTAGATGGTTATGAGGGTATATTCTATAACAAGTTTAAAGTATTAATTAAGTAAAAACACAGGGGGGGGTTTTACTTATTAATACATTTTTCGTAAAGAAAACAATGCAAAATGTTATAGGTACCAGTGACAAACAAATGAGACCCACTCATTGATTTCTATATTTCAATATATCAATATACGAAGTGTTTGCTTAAAATAAGAAGAGATTGTCGTGGGGTTAAAATTAAATCATATAGTGTTATTCTTTTCTTTTTTGTTTTAGATTTAAGATTCAAGACGAAAAATAAGTAAAAATTCACATTACATTAGAAACATTGCACAAAACCCCTTTAACTGTGCTACGTTGTCAAGCTAGGGAATTAACTGTTTGTTTGTTGGTTGTGAAAATTTATATTATAACCGAATACTACTGAAAATTTGTTTAAAAAATTTATTTGAAAAACACGTACACAAGAAACAAATCGGTTTATAACAAAAAACACTGACTTTTAAATTTTTTCCTGCCCCGCCGAGCAGATACCACGGACCATATAGCCATTTGAAATGCGGCTTCTACGTTCCAACAGTTCTTGGCAGACGTCTCTATGAAACCGCTGGCGCCGATCTCCCTGGCTAAAGCCTCACCTTCTTCGGGGGTCACTTTTCTTGCAGACAGAAGGTCAATTTTTGTCGCTATAAAGCGGTACTCTTAAATACGGCACGCAGGGATTTATTGCTTAACTTACCAACCAGTATAATCTTTGCATTCGGCTTGCACCTTTTCACTTCGGGAGCCCACGTCAAGGATATGTTCTCAAAGGAACTCCTCTCAGCTATAGAGTAGCAGAGTATAAACACGTCAGCCTGTGGAGTGTTAGTCGACGATTTGTCAAATAGAAAACAATCTGGGTGTGTGAATAAAGACAGTGTTTGTGTGCACACTCAAAAATGTATGAAATGAGGTTACTGGGACCCATTCTGCTTGTGTTGGTGTGATGTTTGACGAAAAACGGGTGTTTGCAGTAAAATTATATGCCAAAACATTGGTGGTCTGTTCTAAAACTCCTAATAGCACAGAGTCATAATAATATAGAGATGACAGATCTTAAGATACTGTAATAATAGGGCAGTAGCGCTGAATACTTTCTATCCGCTGCATATGACAGGTGTATTTGTGACTATACTGAAGTAGCATATTCTAAATGTTATCTGGCATAGGAATAATACAGTGTTTTTATGGGATTGATATTTGGGAAGTGCATTGCACTTCCCAAATATCACACATTATTAGTGTGGAATGAAAAATCTAGGTTGGAATTTCACAGCACACGCAAATATCTGATCTGATCCACCGAACCCAATGGACTACCATTAATGCAATAGGCAAAACTCACACAATCTCTCGACTTATGGAATCTTATAATCCTACACTTAAATACATTAAGTTCCACACCATCGGTGACAATCTATCCAGGTCCTCCCCGTAAATCCTAAGCACAAAGTCCAAAATTTTGTGACTTTCGAATAGTTAGTTAGTCACATTAGTTAAATCACCAGACTTACGAATTGATACCACAACACTTGACTTGTAGACGCCCCGAAAATATGCCCTCCTGATGTAACTTGTTAAAGATGATGTACAGAGGTCTTGATAAGATAAAGCAACAGTTTTTAAGAAGTAGAGGGTGAACCTTATATGGGGCCTGCCCTTTGTCAGGGTTAGTATTAATCAAGTCTCAATAATTGGGATTATGAAGTTACACAAGTCGTGTGGACTCAATGAGGGCTGATCTGGGATATCAAGGAAATTATTGACATGAACTGAGCCGAAGTACTCCACAAAGAATTCGGCAGCCTGAGGGTCCATATTGTTAAAGAAGAGGGTGGGTGGTGTGGTAGGGTTGTTTACTAGGGTTTAGTAGACAATATGTGCAAAACCAAAATACTTTTGCGTTTAGTTGAAGGGAAGCTTCGACATCTATGACATGTAATGAGAACGCAATTTGGAGAAACAAGTTGCTTCAATGTTAATCTTTTTTGCAATAATAGGTGCTTTCAGATCCTGTGAAAACCTTTTGGAAAACTTTACACTAACGATCTTTTTCACTGGTAAGAAACCGTGAAAGTGTTTTATTATATCATAGAAAAGAGTTTTCATTGATGTAATAATTGAAGGCATAATAATAGCCATTGGCCAGGAAACTCGGTTTAAAGTGTTATGGGCGCAAATCAACTATCAGTAGCAATGGTGCAATGCATAACAGTTTCAGGGTGCTGTCGGAAGCTCTTCACCTAGTGTAGTGAAAAGACACGGCACGCACAAAACCTTCCGTCTGAGACTATTGATCAGCAGATCTTAGAAAAGGTAATATAGACAACTTGAGCCATTGAAGAGTCCATGCTGTGGTTCATCAGTGTAGCTTTCTAGAGGCTCTGCTCTTTCAAACGGCGTCTTCCGTGTTTAAGGGTCCAACCTGACAAGAGATTGGCCGTACCCATCATCTAACGTAAATCTAATACCAAACTTCTCTGCTGCAGCAGTGGGATGATGCTATTTACTATTAGGTCAAAAGCAAGGTCAAAAGGCCAAGACCACCCAGGTATCGTGAGAATGCTGCTATGAAGGTGCATCATTTGGGTAAAGGAATAAGGTAGTACATGAAGCAGCAACCAGGTTTATTCCAGATAGTTAAGACTCATATATTTCACGTACGCGCTGACGTAAGGTATCTGACAAGGATGTCAAAGGATAACGCGATTTCGCCATGCCTACATCTCTGGTATATCCCGGAATCACCTCTTTGACTACTAGCGTAGAGCCCTAAGTCGTCCATATAAAAGAGAGAGGGGCCACGAAAAATAGCAAGTGGTTTTAGATGAGACACCGATATGGGAATGGACATTATTATTATTATTATCATAAAATATCAGGACCAAAGATAAGCCCGGAACTATAAAACAAATAAAAAACATAAATGGAAAGATACCGGACAATGACAACGATATAATTGATGGATGGTGAATATATTTTCAAAGTCTATTGAATAACAACAATGAAGGAGATGATGAAATTGACAGCGTGGCAAGAGGGAACTATGCCCGAGGATTGGAAAATAGGAGTCATTGTGCCAATATTTAAAAAGGGGGATAAAAGAAATTGCAGTAGCTATAGAGTGATAACATTATTGAGCATACCATCGAGCGAATCTTACATGAAAAACTTTCCTGGAACTACAACTGGAGCAATCTCAAAGCCAATTCAGGAAAGGAAGAGGTATACACGACCACATCTTCAGTATCAAGCAAATTGTGATAAACTTCCAAAATATGCGGTGAGAGAGTTTGATAGAGTGATGCGTTGAAAGAAGACTAATTTCAGCCATAATGTGCACATACAAGGACAGCAACAATTGCGTCACACTTTCCAGTAAACGAGGGCGTTAGACAGGGAAGCGTTTTGAGTCCGCTACTATTTAACTTAGTTATGGACGATGTAATAAAAGAAAAAAACAACCAGTACATCCGGTTTCTTAGCAGGGTATAAAGATCTGGAACCCGTTTGGATACGCGAATGTGCTTTTATATAAGGTGTGGTTGTGTTTGCAAGAAATGAAAGGGAATTTAAGAAGAACCTGGAAATCTGTAACAACAGGCTAAATGAGAAAAACCTTAAAATAAACGAAGAAAAAACGAAAATTGTGGTTATGCCCAAAACAAATGGCATTCTGAACATCGAATTAAGCAAGAAACGAATAGAGCAAGTTGACGTTTTTAAATATCTGGGGGTAACAACGGGTGCCACCAAACATAAATAAATGCGAGAATCAAGAGTGCCTCAATACTATTTCACAGTTTAATGTCAAGCTTTACCGGAAAGAGGGAAATATCAACTAAATCCAAAATAATAATATACAAGACAATAATCATTTTTATCAATCAATTTTAACATTTTGGATGTGAAAGCTGGGTACTGACCCAAAAGGCAAAAAATAGGATTTCAAGCATGGAGATGAAGTACCTATGAAGGTCTTAGGTATCACAAGCACAGAAAGAATTCGAAATGGCGCGATTAGAGTGAGATTAAAAGTACAACCAGTTCTCAAACATATTGAGAAATGTCATCTTCGATGTTACGGACACCTAAAAAGAATGGACAAAAAGATACCATCTGGGAGGTGAAAAGATCCAGCCGAAGAAACAGAGGAAGACCGCAACTAACATGAGATCAGAACATAGCGAATATACTAAGAGAAAGAGGACCGGGGATAATGGAAGCAGCTAAAATGGTACTAGATAACAAAAGATGGAGGAAATTATTTAAAACTTACATCTCTGTAGGCCAGCTTCCTCAACTTGTCGAACTCTTCTTGGCCGGCAGTGTCGGACAGGATTATCGTGTGCTCTTCGTAATTTATCGGAATGGTCATCGAGTATACATCAAAGCTGAAAACCATCGGAAACCATTTTAAATTTCGTCGAGTTACTCTTACGTCTGCACTTACACAGTGGGAATGTATCTGTCGTCGAATTTCTTGTCTTTGAACACAATCAGCAGGCAAGTCTTGCCAGTGTCCCCGTCGCCCACCACCGTTATCCTTATCGACTTGTTGAGACTGATTACGGACATAGTTATGCGGCTACATCATTCGGAAAACAATTGTTAAGCGTTAGCAGAAATTATTTTCTAGAAAAGAAACATGGGTTCAAAATCTTCTAAATATCTTCTAGTAGCAAAACTTTTGTTAGCTAGTTGAGTTACGGTATGGGGGAAGGGCTCATTTTCACCAAATTAACGCTAACAGTATCGTTTGGCACACGAGAAATGTAGGTGTAGTTACCTGATTAGATGACATCATTTGCTCACAACGTTTAATGAAAAATTTTGCTGAGATAAATGTGACGTAGTCCCCTCTCAAGTAAACTGATAAGATAACCCGATCATATCTTTATGGGTATTAAATAATTGATAAAAACCCATGGCTTATAGATTTTTCGGAAAAGGAACGTGTAATACGGAATATTTCTTATATATCTCCATCAATTATATATATATATATATATATATATATATATATATATATATATATATATATATATATATATATATATATATATATATATATATATATATATATATATATATATATATATATATACATATATAGAAAGATAGTTTTCAAAATGATGTAATGAGTTGGTGGAGTTTGAGACCCCTGTAAGTGATAAATCAATTTTTGGAACGGTGGATTGTATGTAATAATTTTACATTAAATTTTTAAATTAATCACGATATCTAAGAAACTATTGAGATTAGGGTAGAAACCTGAAGGATCCTATCATTATATTTTCAAAGAACCCCAAAATGAAATACTATAAAAAAAAAGTTTTTCGTCTGTAAAATACCTAATTATACACCGATGTAGCGTGCGGGAAGCGTCGCTTTACCATGTCAGTTTCGTTCCCCACGGATCCGAGCCACTTCGCACATTTTTGCGATTTTACTGCACGGGTTTGGGAGCAATCAGATGATTTCGGAGATATTTCCCACGCATTAAATTTGACGTTTGTGAATTCTGACGGCCATGTCAGTGAATGTATTCGTATTGTTTTGCGAAAATGTACCCAAAAACTAACGGTCGTAGGAAAAGTGTAGCATCCAACACGTTCGGTAAACTTTTTTACTCACTCGTTTAATATAAACTCATTCCGCTCCTGTCAAACTAACTTGTGAGTCAAATGCCATTTACCGAACTTGTTGCATAATATACTATTATTATATAATACGCAATTGTAAAGCAATATTTATGTGATAATTTAATATCACGTATACACCATTGAGCAGATCAGAGGAAAAAACTTATTCTTTAAGTTACGGTGTTGTAAATTATTTATTAAAATTTTTCACAACTTAATTTGAACATAATCAACTTTAAACTTTAAAAGCACGTCGCTTATGTCTTTGCAGGCAAAAACTAACACGGTTTACTTCGAGACAAAATATACCGTTTTATATAGGATCGGCAAAAAGCTGCCGCTGCTGAACCCTTAAAAATGTAGCCCGAATATTAATGAAAAGCGGCCAACCCCGGCGAGATCCGCAAAGTAATGTTTTCGATATAAAAAACGGCCGAAAATAAGATTCGACAATCGATACGCGTGAGTTAATTAATATATTTTTTTATCTTAATGAAAGGCAGTGTTTGCCATGTTTTAACCTTTGCTGCAGCGAAATCATCTCGTGCTATTTTTACTTACATTAATCAACCATTTATTCGCAGAATAACATGCGAGTGATTTAGGAAGACGTTATAGGCTATTTCAGAAAAGTTTAGGGTACTTTGTGAAATTAAGTTATTTTACTCCCTATCGCAAATTGTGTACTAAAAAATAGAGTATTACATTGCCCATCAGATAATCATAGATAGGAGATATAGCAGAACAACATACATACAGAACTTATACGTTTCAACAACTAGCTGAAATAATAACGACCACCAAGAAAACTTGTACCAAAATATACACAGTGAAAACAAAACAAAATAATTACTGGATAACTAAAGACTACCTAACCAAACTTAAGGAAAAAGACAAGCTATGCGTTAGAAACGAATATAAACAAGCAGAATCAATACGCTGAAAAGATGTTTAATGAAGCAAAAGAGAACCCTAAGAAGATCTGGAATAATTTAAACGAAATAACGAACACCAAGGAAAATAAAACAAAAAAAATACATAAAATAATTAATGCAACTGGACAACCGACTAAAGACGATAAAGAAATAGCAAAAGAATTTAATATACACTTTTCAAAAATAGGAGAAACTTTAGGTAACAAAATAAAGCAACATTACAATACCAATTTTGAAGAACAAGAAGTTGTGGCTAGCATATTTTTGGAACCAAAAACGGTCCTAGAAATAAAGGAAACGATTAACTCATTAAAAAATATTTGTGCCCCAGGCATCGATGGTGTGACAAAAAAAGATCTGCATTCACTAATCAATATCATTGGACAAAAAATGGTAGAACTTACTAATAATATTCTAAAAACTGGTAACTACCCTGAAGAATTGAAAGTGGTTAAAAAAGGAGCCCACGACGAAATGAATAATTACAGGCAAATCTCCCTAGTCAGCACTTTGTCCAAGGTACTGGAAAAAATTATTAAGGCAAGATTAATAAAATTTATCGAAGCTAAAATTAAATTTGACCACCATCAATATGGATTCCAAAGTAAAAGTAGTACACAAAGAGCGGTTGTTGATATATGACCAATGAATTGGATAAGAACAAATATGTAATAACAGTGTTTGTCCATCTTCAAAAGGCGTTCGATACTGTCAATATAGAGCTAATGATGAATAAATTAAATAAAATGGGACTTCGTGAGGTGTACTACCACGTGATTAAATCTTATTCTACAGCCAGAGAGTACAACAATAAATAGGGAGAGCAGTGAACGATTTATTTCCAACGTCGGCATTGCCCAGGGATCGGTATTAGGGTTACTGCTATATTTGCTGTATGTACAAAGCCTAAAATATGCAAACTTAAAAGCAAGGTAAATTTTGCTAGTGACATTGTTTACTCGGGTGGTAGTGCGGAACTGCTTGAAGAACTTGCTATAACAGACTTTCCTTAAACGCCCAAAAAACAGTTTATATGATATTTAAATAGCGCCTTGTAACCTAAAGATAAAAATAAATAAAGCGGCACTCAAAAGAGTGTGTGAATATAAACACCTAGGGCTAACTATCTCTGAAAATCTAACTTGGGATAAACATATTGAGACTGTAATTGACGTAACCGTAGCAATGCTAGGTGCAATAAAAAGATGTTCGAATCAACTCAACCAAAAGACACAGCTGTTTTATAATAGCTTCGTAGAGCCACACCTGAGATAGGTACTTGTTAACATGCTGGGGAAACACCAGCTTGCACTTAATGTAATATTTGGAATGAATTTTAATATGTCTAGTGAAGAAATCTACACAAACCTACCTTATTTAAAAATATGTGAACTTAAGGTACTGGAACAAACAAATGTGAAACTGACTGGAAATGGACAGTGTTACATCACAAGAAACAATGATAAGTTAAGAAATGTATACGCAAGGACCAAAAGGAAACAAGACTCGCCAATATACAAAAGCATTCAAGTGTTTAATAAAATACTACAAACTCTATTAAAGGGCACTACCAAAAAAATGTGTCATAACCTTAAAGACTTTATAAGAAAAAATAGAATATAAACTTATATTAACAAACTATTATATTTAATTACTGTTACTGTTTTTGTAAGGCCTTGGGGCCAGTTTTATTGTTAACTGTTTAGAGGTCTGAAATAAATAGTAGTAATAGAATTTCAAAAGAAAGAAAGCTATTGTTTGAATAAGCCAGAAGTGACACCAGAGACGAAAAGCAGTTCAACACGTAATTATTATTAATTTATTTTTTATTTAGCTTAATTTTTTATTTCTGAACAACGTATTCTAAAAATAAGTTATCTAATTATATGTACATAAAGCCTAAAGAATTTTGTAATGAAATCAATGCCAAAATGACACTTAATGGTAATTAATAAATACCGAATAGAAACAGCGACAATGATAATACACAATCTCTTCAGTTTCATATTTTTTATTTTATTTATAAACAAGTCTTTACTACAGCCGTCCAATTAAAGGAAAGCACAAAATGTCACAAAAAAAAGATACTCATTGGCAGAATACGTACAAATAACGTTGGGATAAAATATTTAGTCTGGAATGATATGTTTTAATAGTATTCAGGGTGGGTACTTTTTTAATCGGATTATACGGGCTAATTTTAAATAAGCTTGTAGAGTTGAAATTGAATTTCTTTAAAAAATTCTTCTTCTTCTTGCTTTGTCACAAGTGAAAATTAATAAAAAAATACTCAATAGATTAATTCTAACAACACTATACAGTTTCATAAAAGAATTCTTGACTATGTAGTCTAGAATTCTAGCATATTCTCCGCAGATAATAAACAGTTCCTCCAGAGTTATTGTTTCATCACTTTTAAAATCCCGATAACAAAACATTTTCATTTTCGTTAGAAAACCAGATTGGACCTATATGAACATGATATATTAATTGAAGGGCCTTTTAGAATGTTATGTAAATGGGAAAAATAACTTTCCGTCAATTTTGTGTAAAACGCAAAAATCGTGATTCTTTTAAAGACCCTGTTGAAGGCTAGAGGAAACTACCTACATAAGATTCTAGCTAATTGAAGCCAAAATTTTAGGTTGAACAGTATTGAAAAAAAAAAATAGATGAGCCAGCTTCAATGATGCAGCCTTAAAATGAACGCATATATTTTACTGTATCTACAGACTGGTTTCCCATATCTAGAAAACATCCTAGACCTAGCTTTTTCTATTCTATGACTAAAAATTTTGTAATAGAAAGATAAATTCTGAATTTAGCCCTCTAGCGGTTTTATTCGCAACTATCGAAACTAACCAAAATCTACCCAGCCTTACTATTAAGAATGGTAAGCCATAGTAGACAAATAGTGTCGTTATTAAAGTTGTGACTTAAATGGAAATATTTGAAGAAATCTTTGAAGAAATTTTATGTGTAGGTATACTAAGCTGCTAAGTTTAGTTCCGGTTAGTTTATAATACTACGCAGGTTTAGGCCTGTTATTTGAAAATAATTTATTTTATTCTAACAGAATAAAAATTGGGCATTCTGCATCAGTTGCCCTTATTTTTTATGAAACATAAGAAAAAATCAATAGATTATAAATTACCAAGTTATCTTCAAAACGATGGAAGACTGCCAACCTTAACAAGTTT